CGGGACTCGATGCTCAACTAATTATTCAGACAGCGACATTAATGAGAATCCTCATGTTTATTTTCAACATACTAACCAGCGCTTAGCTTCCATTTGTCTGATATGGTCACTGATTAAAATGTGGTTCATGAATAGTAAATTTAAACTCTGATATAACAAAGAAGCACCAGCGAAAAATGAGGAACAGCTGACTGGAATACCCGCCTGGTCAACTCACCTTGTCTTTTGCCTCAAATGTTGTCAAGGACAACGTGACGGGCAGTACAGAAATGCCATGAATACCAAGAAAAATGAAAGTAATATTTTTAATCACACATGTCCATGGACAAGCTTGACTTCTGACCCAGGCCACTGGACCCCAACATAGGCAAGACAACTTCAGTCTCCAACAAACTTCACAAACTTCCTGAGGCTGAATGAAGATTGTTAATGATTATTACACTACTTTTTCCATGGAGTGACCGTGAGTTTTGCTTTAACATGCATTTCATTTTTCTTTTTTTAAAAGTATTTAGTTTTATTTATCATTATTATTATTATCTTTAAACTTGACTAGAGAGAGGAAAGTGAGAAAGCAAGTCACTAGTCTGGGACTCGAACCACAGTCGGTCACGTGGGAGCCCAACGCCTTAACCACTATGCCACCTGCTGGCCACTTAACATGCTTTTTCAACCTTACAAAAGTCAGATATTTGATTAAACTGTCTTAAATATGATCTTCACGAACATTAATAAATGTGGTTGTGTTTTTTCCAACTCTATTGTAAAACTGTACTGCTGAGGGCTTTTTTAAAAGTGGTTTTTAATATCCTCTTATACATCTGTTTCTAGTCTACTAAACCTTGTAATCAAGTTCTTTCTACGTTAAATTAAATTTCTATTTTGGTATGATAAATTTTGTCCTTCGTTTTATGGTGATTATAATCCTAAAATATTCATATAATCATAATTTAAAATGAATAACTTTAAAAAAGGTGTGCTTAGATCTATTAGAGGTATTGAAAAATTGAAAATGTCCCTGATGTGTGGTTCAATGTAAAATGTGCAACTGAAATTAAATTTGTACTTCAATGAATGTTCTATCTGCCATCGTGGATAAAGAATTCTACTCAATATTGCGTATGACTTCAGGTATTATAAAACAGCAAAATAAATATGAGTCCGTGTAGATCATTTTGGGAATAAAAATGTCATTGCATGTAACATTTCTTAAGTATGTATTTCTAAATTTACTCACTCTGAGATAGAGCTGTAATTTTAGAACGCCCAAGTGCCTAAATGGCACACAACGTGTGGGAAGCAGATTCAGATCACAGGCTAATTTTTACAATATATTTAAACAAGTATCCAGATAAATGGTTCCAAACCAGCACGAGATTCTCCAAATGCTGTTCTTTCTACAGGTACCCATAGAAGTCAGGTTCTCAGACTACTGGCATCTCTGGGCAGGTTGTGTATGGTAAGCATTTACCCTTTCTAACAATCCAAGGAAATATGACAGTCTATGGCAGAAACTGATAAGCCGCTCAAAAAATCCACCGCTTCTCTTTTCTGGGCAAACTGCTAGTAGGTATCTCTCAGGACCCCAGGTAGGCAGATGGGGGCGTGACTGAGTTCTGGCCAAACAGAAGGATGTAGGTAAATGTTACTTTCAGTCTGATCCTGAAGCCTTCTGCACCATTCCCAATGCCCTATTTCTTCCCTGAACTATGGACCCAGAGATCCAGTGGAGAACTTCTAGCTGCTGAAGATAGTAGAGTAACTCAATGAAATGAGCCTAGATACCTGAGAGACCATGTGGAGCACAGCTACCACCAATCCTGTCACCGTCAGCTGGCTCAGAACTGTGAGGTACCTAAGGAGTAAACCTGCCTGGGTTAACCCTCTAGGATTCAGGAATGTTACAGCTGCCAGTGTTGCTTACTTGAATACACAAACACTTCTGACTTCTCCATTGCTTCTATTTTAGTCTCTGGGCAACCCTAAGTATTGAGTTGTCAAGACAATCATAATCATTTTTGCATAGAAAAACATAAAAATATGCCATGACTTTCCAGACAACCTAATAAACAGAAGCCCTGTAAATGTGGAGACATTTCTGAAGGTATTTCACAGTTGTGAATATTTGTTTCTCTAAGCCAAGAGTAGAAAAGGGAGAGAATCAGCTGCTAATCTATCCCCAAACGTGTCGGGTTTGTCATTCCTTCCTTAATCTCCACATAGTTGAGTAAGAAAGCCTGATTCCCGTTTTATAGAAAAGAATGCTAAACCTCGAAGAAGTGAAAGTATGCACAACTAAATGCCGTAGGATGGGATCTGGCTGACACTTTCCTAGTTGAATGCATGCTAGTTTTTAACATGCAAACTTTATAGAAAACACATCTTACTAAATAAAGTATTTTTGAGCCTAGTTGTGGTAGTGCATGCTGAGAGACTTAGCAGACTGAGGCCACACGAGAGGTCCAGATTTAGTTCCTGGCCTACCCTAAAAGCTAGG